CGTAATGTGGTTGTTAGGGGGGACCTGATATAGGGGAGAGCATAGTAAACATAGTATTCTTCAGGTAAGTGTAGATTAAAAATTTAAAAAAAAAAAAAAAAAAAAAAAGAAAGAAAAGGGGGATTACTCCTTAACAGGATAAAACTATTGGTAAATCAAAGATCAACGCATGCTTTAAATATCCTTAATGTTGATCACTTAAAGGGTGTCAGATGATCAGCTATGGAGGTACTCTTTTCTGATAATATTCCTTTCTCTTAATTAAAAAAAAAAAAAAAAAAAGTTACTGTGTGCTGACCTCCAATGAGTTCTGCACAGTGGTATAGAGGGCATGTCAAAGTGTGGGCAAAGGGTCTGTTTGTTTCTACGCAGAAGATCAAGGCCTAGCTTGGATACCCAGAAAATGAACTAAGATACGATATGAGGAGGAGCTTCCGGCATCAGCACTCTCTGGAGGACTCGTGCCGGGGGATGATCATCAAAAAGCCTCCACAGGGATCCGGACGATGCTGCGGTTGTGGCTGCATCCAGCCCACCATCTCCTGGACTTGCCATAAGAAGGAGGAGGGAGATGTCTAGGCTGGCATGTGCATACAGTGAGACAACGAATTTGACTGGATCTGTACTGTTGGAACTCAACCAGGAGTTGGGAGGGGTGCAAGTTGTAGCACCCCAAAATCTCATGACTATAGACTATCTATGGTTAAAAGAACATATGGGATGTGAACAGATCCCAGAAATGGGCTGCTTTAATTTGTCTGATGGTTCAAGTACAGTTGGAAAATATCCATCATATCATAGATAAATTTTCACAAATGCCTAGGGTGCCTAAATGGTTTTCTTGGCTTCACTGGAGATGGCTGGTAATTATAGATTTGCTTTGTTTATGTCACCGTATTCCTATTATGTTAATATGTGTGTGCAAATTAGTTAGTAGTTTAAAACCTATACATACTTAAGGTACTATACAAGAAGATATGTCAAAGAAATAATCAATCCTCCCAAGTTTCCTTCATATGCTACATCTATAGCTTTTCTTCTTCCTTCCTAATTACAAACCTTAAATAGAATTCGTGCCTCATATCGAATTTACCGAGTATCATAATTCCTCCAGGTGGTAAAGATACCTCGAGACAAGTGCTGGGCATAGAAGCCACAGGGCATAAATCTGCAAAGAAGTAAAAAGCTAACCTTTGCAAACAATATGGCTTCTCTCTCACTTACCAACTTTACATTTCCCTGTATGGCCCCGGAAGATGACTGGTTAGCCAGAGACGGGTAAGATTCCTCAAGGGAGGAACAACCTAAGACAGGCACAGTCGCAGGGGGGCCATCAGGTGAGAATTTGGGGATCAACAGAGGTGAGGCTCAGAACCTCACCCCCCCTGCTTTGAGAGAAATCTTCTGCATCCGTGGATGTCTTGCTGCCCTTGTCTAGCCTGGATTAATACTTAGTCCATAGGCACACACCTGATCATCTGATCATCTACATTTGCCTTCTTACAGCACTAAACTATGTTTTCTACCTTTATCTTGCATCTACCTACCACTTCAGCATTTTATTAAAAATAAAAATAATAATAATAATAAAGGGAGAAATGTGGGATCAACATATAAATCAAGTATAAAAATCAAACGAATATTCATATTTGACCTGATTGTTTATAGTTCATAATGCGTGATCAAAACCGAAAGTTTCTGTGATGAATGCCCTTGTACTGTTCACCATGTAAGAATTTATTCACTATGTAAGAATTCGTTCACCATGTAAGAACTTGTTCGTTATGCTTCAGAAGATTGGAGACTGATGAGAATTAGGCTTGAGATGGATTAATGATTGGACATTGAGCGTTGACCCCCCATACTGAATTTTATTGTTGTTAACAACCATTTGATCAATAAATAGGAGAGATGCCCTCTCAAAAAAAAACAAAACAAAACAAACAAAAACTGTATCTTACTATGTACACTACACATTTGCACCAAAAAGTAAAAGGTTATATATATATATATAAAAAAAAAAATGATAGCAAGTTCATAGTGCAGGGGAAAAAAACAAAGGGAAAAATTAGAAAGGATTTCTAGTACTCATACTGGCTCCTAATCCAAGCCAAACACCAGGTCTGGCAACAGTTGACGGACTCAGTTCCTCCATATTCTGAAGAGTTTACAAGTTTGGGTCTATGGCATTGCCTGGGGCAAGGTGTTAGAAATGTACCCAAGTCCATCTGGCTTAAAATGTTTCTGTCCTGCTCAACAGTGGGATGCAATAATACAGCCTTCCAAACACTAGTGCTTTTTTTCCCGATTTATGGCTGCTACTTCTCAGTTTCTTAAGCTTTCCTCTTCCCTTCCCCAGTACAACAGAGTAATAGTATTTTATGTAGGCTTTACCCAAACTCAGAGCCTAATTCTGCATCCTCCTCTCTTCCCAATGTTTTCTACCTCCGGTTTCCCAGGTTTGAAATACTATTTATATGCTACTGATTCCTAAGTCAACATTTGTACTCTGACTTCTCAGCTGATCTCCCAGACTCATATAGGTTAATCTAGTACCTCCATTTGGATATCTGATGAACATCTCAGGGCTATTATGTCCAAATGGACCTACTGACCTTACTTTGCACTCAAATCTATCATTCCTACATTCTTCCCTCAGTAAATGGAAGAACGTTCTTCCAGAGACTCATTCCACAATTTAAGGAGTTACTCTAAATTTCTTCCTTATCCAAATAAATCAGCAAGTCTACCTCCAAAATACATCTAGAATCCCATTCACTTTCCTCCTTCCAATTCCATTACTGGCATGTCATCTCAACCAGCCATCATTTCTTGTCCAGACCTCTACAAAAGCCTGGTTTCCCAACTCTCACCCATGCCTTTCTTCAAGCTGAACTCTTCACAGGAAGAGTAATACTTAAAATGTATACCACATCATGTTACATCCTTGCTTAAAGACCTTTCAGGTACTGTCAATAGAGTAAAATCTCAATTTATTATCACGACAAAGGCCCTGCGGGGTTGTCCCAGGCTGGCCTCATACCAAATGCCCTCTCTGACCATGCTCCAGCCACAGTGATATCCTTCAATGCATCCAACACAAGTTCTGTCCCACCTCCTAGCCTTTCTACCCACTTCTCCCTCATTTGCAATGCCCTTCCCCAACTCTTTATGCCTGACACTTCATCTCATTCCACAGGTCTCAGCTCAAGTATCATCTCAAGAGAAGCCTTCTTTGCTTACCAGGTAAAGTAAGCTACTAGCCTTCTTCCTCCAAATTATATCCCCTATATTATCCTATTTCTTTCCTTTAAAACATTCACCATATTCTCACAATATTCTCATTTACCTATTCAGCATGTTTTCCCTAAAACCACAGGCTCCTCAAAGGACATAACCTTGCTTGTATTATTACTGCTGAATCTCTAGCCTAGCAGAGTGCCCATTGGTATGCTCTCAAAAATATTTTTTGATAGAATGAATTTGATCCTGAATTATGTAAGAAATATTCTTGGTCTTTCTGTTTTTCTTTTCTCTTTAAAGAAATAACTTAAGCCCATATGTAAGTAATTACTTTTAGGAAGTATTCTGAAATCAAAAGCATCCTGAAAGCCAACAAATTTTACCTATACTTTCCCTTGGAATTTTTGATACTAACTTTAGAGAAAGCTTATTCAAAATTCAAATATGCGGATTCCAAGAAACAAGCTACCCCAAGCCATTAGGCCATTACCTTACTCTTTGATTCCTATCCTGAACTCTGCAATCTGACCAGATTTCACATGCCAAATGAAGCACTTTGAAATGAGAACAAGGAAACTATAATGCTTCACATTTCTCCATTATAAACTTGGTTTCCTGAAATCAGAGAGTAAGGCTTAAAATCTATCATCGTCTAGAAATGACCGTTCAGGTATGATAAAAAGCAAAATGTAAGTTTCCATTTCCCTTTCCAATTCCTAAGAATCTCACATCCTATAATAGACTTTATTCATCTTGATCTCCTTTTCATCAATAAAATGTCAGTGCTAAAAGGCTATAACAACCAGGAAATAATTTTGAGCAATTTTGACTTTCCTACTGAGAACTATTCTGGCCTACTAGTCATGAGGGACAAAAAGCAGGGAAACTTCATAAAATCCTTCTCTTCACAGTGCCAGCTTGGAGTTGCTCCAGAAGCCAGCCTTTGGGGGTTCATATGTGTGGTATTCAGATCAGGGGAAGGCAAAATACACGAGGGCAAATGGAAAATGCTTACAGTGGTCTCTGCACTGACTTGTCCAAGTATGGCCTGAACCTTACCACACATTTATACATACCAAAAAGGGAAAAATGAAGCAATCAGGGAAGAATGAGTGGTGCACACTCACTGGAAACAAGGCTCCTTGGATACAGGAACTGAGATATCGGACAGTTGAGGGATTTAAGGAAAAAGGGGAAGAGGCTGGCTTTCAGCTACAAGGAAGCTATCACGAAGCAGGAATGTAAAAGTGATAAAATGAAGCAAAAATGCTTTGATATATTTGAGCAGAAAAACTTTTATACTACAATACCACATAAAAATTTTAAAAACATTTTATACATATACCCATATAAACATAAGCAAACTTATTTCACACTTTCAATTCTTCATAGCCTTTGCAAAGAGGGACCTAGAGTGGCTGTGTTATAAAGAAGCAGTGAAAGCACAAAGGCACTCATCCTTTTATAGTCAATCTGTCTATAAGGATAGTTCCCAGAAAGGAACCCCCAGTAACTGTTAAATTAATCATGTTACCAAAAGCCTCCTCTGAAATTACTCCTTGTATGTCCAGGAGGCATGCTGGCCCTTCCTAATCTGATCAGTGGGTACACTCCACAGGACGGGCCTGCTGATAAGCTACTAAGGGAGCTATACAAATTCTAGGAATTTAAAAAGAATGAGTAGTTTATATTATTTCTATCCATGTCACCTTTTTCTTAAGATTTCAACCGAAAACTACCAATATAGGGTGGCTTACCCATTTTTTTAACTTCTTCAGCAAAATATGGGTCACTTAAATCAACATCAGGAGGAAGTTCATCTTCACTGGTGTCTTCAACAAGAGCCTTAAAGTTGAAAAGTTGAATATAAAAATACATACAATTTATTAGAAGGACCATTGTGTGTGTGAGTGTGTGTGTGTATAGAGGAGAATCATATGACTTCTTTTTTTTTTTTATCTTTTAAATCAAGTAGTTTAATTTAAAATAAAACAATTCCCATCTGAGTCATCCTTTTATTTGCTCATCTAATATTTATGGAATACTTAATAAATTCAGGTACTATGTAGGGCTTTTGGGAGAAAAAAATTATCAGATACACGGTTTCTGTCTCCAAAAATCTCACTATCTTATTAAAAGAAGTTAGACACAAAAAACAAACATGTACATCAATAATAATTTAAGATAGGAAGTGCTAGAAGAGATAAAAATAAAATGATAAACACTCAAATGAGGAGCTTAGTTTTAAGTGGATAATCAGTGAAGAGAGGAAGCCTCACAAAATTGAGAAATGGCAGTGACTATCAATAGTTTTAAGTAGTGTACATGTGGGTTATATTTTAAATTATAATTTAAAACAATTTATTGCTAATTAAAGAAAATGATTTATTATGAAAATTCAAACATACAAAAGCGGTAAGGACAGCATAATGAACCACCTGTTCTCATCACCCAGTCTTGTTTTATCTATAATCCACCCCTGAAAACTCTTGAGCTATTTTTTTTTTGACTTTTTAAAACAAAATTTTTATTAAGGTATGATTGATATACACTCTTATGAAGGTTTCACATGAAAAAACAATATGGTTACTATATTTACTCATATTATCAAGTCTCTTGGGCTATTTTTAAAGCAAATTTGTTGGTTAAATTTTCCCTAATCCAATTTGAATAGACTGTTTACTAAATTAGTATATTTAAATTAAAAGATAAATACCATAAATAGAATAGACTAGCCCACCAAGTAAAGAATATTCATTTTGATATTAATATTCTAACAACAGCGTCTAAGAATTTTTTCATCAAATTATATTTTCAGCAGTAATATGATATTTCTAACAAAGATTATAGAACACCTATTTAACTCATCTAGTTTTTTTTAAACTACTATCTAGTGATTTTACTACTTATCTAGTCACATACTTCTTGCACTGTTTTTCGATCTAAACTAGCTGTACCAACTATGGCACATAAACACATTTTCATTTTTCCAGTAAATCTAATTAAAGTTACAGAGAGAAAAGGGAAAAATACTTTGAACTTGAAGAAAATTCTTGAAACTCTTCAACATACGGAGAACCTGTGGAGCTGGAAACTATCTGCTGGAATCAAGTCCCATACAGAGCATTGAGTCTAGAACAAACTGGGCACTCAACAATATTTTTTTTTTGGTATCATTAATCCACAATTACATGAGGAACATTATGTTTACTAGACTCCCCCCTTCACCAAGTCCCCCCCATCAGTGTAGTAAGATGCTGTAAAATCACTACTTGTTTTCTCTGTGTTGCACAGCCCTCCCTGTGCCCCTCCTCACATTATACATGCTAATCATAAGGCCCCTTTCTTCTCCCCACCCTTCTCCCTCCCTTCCCACCCATCCTCCCCAGTCCCTTTCCCTTTGGTAGCTGTTAGTCCTTTCTTGGGTTCTGTGATTCTGCTGCTGTTTTGTTTCTTCAGTTTTCCCTTTGTTCTTATATTCCATATGAGTGAAATCATTTGGTACTTGACTTTCACTGCCTGGCTTATTTCACTGAGCATAATACCCTCTAGCTCCATCCATGTTGTTGGAAATGGTAG